ATCTCCACTTTGAAATTATAGGTAGATAAATTCTCTCCTCGTGATTTACCTGTTGTGTTTCTTGGATATCCTCCTGGTGTAAAGGGTATTGGGTTTATGTGGTACAAACTCAGAAGTTTATAGTTTCTCGCAACGTGGTATTTCATGAGAACATTTTTCTATTTCAAAGTATTCAATTGCCTAATCATTCTATTAATGTTTTCCAGGATTTTTGTTAACCACATGTTGTGCGAGATTCGGTTGATTACTCATAGGTTTTCGAAACTCAGCCTACATAGACTAATACTGACATTCTTGTGGAGGAACACAATGGTTCGTCTAATGTTGATGATGTTTCTGGCGAAGCAAGTATTGCAGCGAAAATAATTCCTGATGAGGTTCTACATCCCATTCGACGATCTTCTCGTATTTCTTACAAACCATCATATCTTCAATGTTATTATTGTAATAATGATTCATCTCAATGTCATTATCCTATTGAAGATTATTTGTCTTCTTCGAGGTTGTCTTCTGAGTACAGTGGTTTCATTGCTAACATTTTTTCTTAATGTGAGCCATCATTTTATCACTAGGCTATCAAGTCTTCTGTTTGGAGAGATGTTATGGATGATGAACTTCGAGCTATGGAGTCTCTTGACACTTGGTCTATCGCTCCTTTACCTGAAGGAAATAACCTTATCGATTGTAAGTGGGTGTATCGAATTAAGCGTAAGGCTGATGGGTTGGTTGATCGTTATAAGGCTCGGGTAGTCGCTAAGGGTTTTATACAGGTTAAATGGATTAATTACATGGATACGTTTTTGCCTGTTTCTAAAATGACTTCTTTAAGGCTATTGCTTGCTCTTACGGCAATACGAGGGTGGCATTTGCTTAAATTAAATGTCAACAATGCTTTTTTAAATGGGGTTCTCGATGAGGAAGTTTACATGAAATTGCCTCTTGGGTATATGCCTGATCTCAAGGGTGACAACATGGTTTGTAAGCTTTGAAAGTCTATCTACGGGCTCAAACAGGCTTCCCGACAGTGGTTCAATGTTTTTCGAGTCTCGTTCTCAAGCTTGGTTTTCAACAATCACCTGTTGAACATTCGTTGTTTACTAAAGGATCTGATGATGTTTTTGTTGCTCTCTTGGTTTATGTGGATGACATTGTAATTGTTGTTGCAGATTTGCAGTTGCTCCATAGAATTCAAAGTCTTCTACAACAACATTTTAAGCTAAAGGAGTTGGGTATTTTGCGTTATTTTCTTGGATTTGAGGTAGCTCGAAATGCATCTGGAATTTCTTTATCTTAACGAAAGTATGTTTTGCAGTTGCTCGAGGATACAAGATGTTTGGGTGTGAAATCGGTTGATTTTCCCATGGTTCATTCCTTGAAGTTGAGTGCTGATGAAGGAGAACCATTGTTTGATCCTTAAGAATATCGTCGATCTATAGGTCAACTTCTTTACCTAACTAACACTAGGCCCAACATTGTTCGTACGTGCATTTGCTAAGTCAATTCGTCTCTTCTCCTCGTCTACCTCACATGACAGCTTTAAAACATCTTCTTGTTTATATCAAACAATCGTCTGGGCTTGGATTGCTTTTTCCAGTTCACTCTAGTGTTCAGTTGAGTGTTTTTGTTGATTCAGATTATGGTTCTTGCCCGAATACTCGACGTTCTACATCAGGGTTTTGGTTTTTTGGTGATAGCCTTGTCTCTTAGAAATCGAAAAAGCAAGTCATTGTTAGTCGATCTTCCTATGAAACAGAATATCGAGCTATGACAGTAGCCACCTATGAGTTGGTTTGGCTTACTTCCTTGCTATCCTCTTTTGAAATCTTCATCGATTATGTTCGTCTGTATTGTGATAACAGAACTGTGATTAATTTGGCAGCCAACCAAGTGTTTCACGAACGAACTAAACACATTGAAGTTGATTGTCACTTTCTACGCGACATGGTCAAGATTGGTTTTTTAAAGCTTTTCCATGTTCGTTCTTTAGATCAACTAGTTGACGTGTTTACAAAGACTCTTCGGGCTCCCATGCATCGTGATTTTATTGCCAAGCTGGGCCTTCTTAACATCCATGTAGTCTCATCTTGAAGGAGGGGTATTAGGATGTATTATTTGTTAATATGTTAAGTCAACCATTTGTTAGTTTAGGTTAACTGTTAGTTAGTTAGTTAGTTCATAGTTGTTATATATAAACAGCTTGGTGTATCATTCTTTCTCAATAAATGAAAGACAATCATTCTGTTCTTTCATTGCTTTCTTGATTCTTATAAAGAGTGAGGTTTGGATATTTTTGCAATATACGTTGTTGGCTTATCACTGCCAACTAATTAATGGCTGGGATTGGAGCCACATGTATAAGTGGGTCCCTTATACTCATTTCAACGGCTCTCATTCTATTCCGCTCTTTCTAATTTAGTTTATTTTTCCATACACGTAGATAAACTGTAGAATCCACTGACGTCGTTTTGTAATGCATGGGCCTCAGGTCACTTTGAACATTCTTTTCTCCTTTAATTTGATTAGTTTAATTGGAGATTAATACGAGTGGGTTATGGTGTGGGATCCACACGTGTCGGCAGGAATTTTGCCACGTTGGAACGCACACACAAACAGAGGTCCACCGACACTTTTCCCCGGTTTGGTTATTGCTTTCAGCTGCCTCTTTCAGCGCTTAACTATGTTAGATCCTTTTCCTGATTCCGAGGTTTACTTCTTTGGACAGACAGTAGTAATTCAATGAAGTTTTTTTTTTATTCTGACTAATTTAAATTTGAGGGTTTCGTTGTTATAAATTTTTTTTTAAAATTAAATTGTCTATTGATGCTTTTTTCATTCAGTAGTTTTTATAAATGGAAAAATTAACTGTGATTTAACATGAAATCTCATAGTCGATTCTATTTAGAAAACAAGTCGAACTCACATATGCATGCTAAGTTAGATTTTACATTAAACCTATGTAACCAATATTGCATAAATGATAAAAGTTTTTTTTATGAAATTAAAGATTGTCATATATATATATATATATATATATATATATATATATATATATAATATTAGTTTGATGAATCGAAATATTAAGAGAGATTTTTTGAGATTTAAAAAAAAAAAAAAACTATACATTTGTAAATATACACGTGTACTATTTTGAGCGTTGACAAGATTATTTAACTATTGTGATAAATTAGATACTTAAATTGATAACGTCAGAAAAATTAAGTACTTTTATTTAATATTTATTTTTTGGGTATAGTAACATTTAATACTTAAATTATCAGTTTTAGTCTATTTTAGTTCTTAAACTTTCAATTATTTTAAAATCATACCTAAAGTTTAGTTTTCATTTCATTTTACTATCTCTATGTTAAAAACTTAATGTGTTTAGTACTTTAACTATCAGTTTTGATCCGTTTTAGTACCTAAACTTTCAATATTTTTAAAACTTAACGTTAAATTTTGAATGGGTACTAAAATGAAACAAAAACTTAAGTTTTTAACAACAGAGTACTAAAATAAAATAAAAGTTAAATTTTTTAATGGCTGGTACTAAAATGAAGCAAAAAATAAATTTTAGGTGCAATTTTGAAAAATTAAAAATTTACGTACTAAATCATATTAAAACTGATAATTTAGATACTAAACACGTAATTTACCCTTCTATTTTAATTACCTTCTAAATATTCAGCATGCATCCACAGAAATGGATCCGATTATCCTACCCAATCCATAAACCATATCACCCAAATTTTATAAAAACCAAATCAAATAACCCAGATCAATTATTTTGGTTTCTTAAAACAAGTTTGGTCAGTTGGATTAATTGTATTTCAAAATTCAATCAATTTATTCAATTCAATTATTGTTTATTTTATTAATTATAATGTCATTATATAATAAATATTAAAATAAAATTGATAAAATTTTGAAATTGGAAAACTCAATTGAGTTTTTTTTATAGACAATATTAATTCTTTTGAACGAGCATGGAGACTAAAATATACTATAAATCTATATTAATAAATTATAATTTTCTACAGTACTCTTTTAAAATATATTATTTTCAAAACAAGTTTCAACCCAACAATGAATTTCTTATTCATCTTAACATATAAGATGCATGATGCAAAATGGCCTATATATCATTCCATCGTCTCCGTCATGATTAGGGATATAAATGAGACGAGACAGATCATGAGTAGATCGACTTGGTCAAAACTCAATAAATATTCGGCACGAATGGATTTGACTCGAGCTAGAGCTCGACTCGAGTTATTAATGATCAAAACTGAGCTCCTTGATACTCGACTCGAAAAGCTCACGAGTAACTTGAAAATATAATATATTAAGATTTTATTTTTTTAAATAAATTATTAATAATATCAACATTTATTTGTTTATTTTTTTAAAAAAAATATAGTATAAGGTTTTTATGTATTCAATGTTCATATTCGAGTTTCAGTTTGAGGCTTCAATATAGTTAAGTTTAAGAAAAAAAATTCAGTTCGAGCTTTTGCAAGCTTTTACGAGCTTTAATTCATGGTTTCGAGTTCGATTCGAGCTTGAAAATTTTAGACTCACGAGTTTTCAAATCGAATCAAGTTCAGCAATACTCAAACTCGACTCAACTTGTTTTGAGCCCTAATCATGATTGCTTTATTATTTTCCCCATTTTACTCTCGCTTTATTTTCTTTTTCAAACATGTAATAATAATTGTCAGCAAATGCTCAGATACCCACAGATTGATAGTTACATTAATATATTCAAAATTAATAATAGAAACATATATGTACAAAAAATATTAATAAGACCAACTTATGAAAAAATGAATTCTACTAGATAAATAATAGAATGATTTAGAATAATATATTACTTTGATTACTTTAGTGAGATTAACAGAAAATGAAAAGGATGATGCAGTAGGAAGGAGGGTATCCAAAGTTTAGGATGATATTACTGCACATGAAATGGTAGCGTAAAATATTGCAGCGATATTAGATTTCTAAACTCGTAAAACAAAGTTACACCAAATCCAGATGGATCAAAAAAGAAAAGAAGTAGGAACATTTGGAGATAGAAATGTAAAATATTATCATCTTAATTAAGCTTCAATCTCAAACCTTGAGCACTTGATGGATCCCATGGATATGTCGATCTCTATCAGGTTTTCCTCTTCATTCATGTCGTTCAACTCTGCTAGAAGCTCCATTAAGCTCCGTTGCTGGAAAATGGGTTCCGGAAATTTCTGATGCATAGTATTGTAATTATTTGGCTCATCTTCTTTGTGCTTAACGTAATGTCCTCCAGGAAGTGAGATTTCAATGAGACTATCCTCGTCGGATATCGATCCTTCGTCCGACCAATCCGGCGTTCGATCCATGTTGCTCCGAAATGGCCACTCCACTTCGGAATCTTCAGTGGTTGATAACTGATAATCAAAACATTCGTTTTCAGAAAAGACATCCGGTGATTTGACTATGTAGTCATGGATCTGATTATCATAGGAACCGCTTTCCTTATTAATTTCAGTTTCAGGCTGTTGTCTTGATGCCGAAGTATCTTCCATTTGAGGCGAGCTTTGCTCCACAGATTCATGAATATTATCCTCTTCGACTGATTCCACCGCCAACTTCGGCTTGTTCTTGGATAATAGGAGAAGACAGTTGAGAAGATCAAGACAGTAAATGTGAAGAAAATGGATAAGAACCCAAAGATCGAAAAACAAGCAAATGTTACCACTGGGCCAACAACAACAACAATCCATGACAGTGGGGTTTTGAGGAGAAACAAATAAGTACTCATTTGATCATTTTCCAACTCCATGGACTAGGAAAAAAAACAAAGGTTGATGAACTTGTAATTTGTAAACTTAGCTCCAGATTTTCAGAATAAAGGGCATGTGCAGATGAAAGAAGAGAGTTTGGTCGGCGTATGAATAAGAAGATAAAAACACATAACCAAAAGAAGAAAAAGGTTTCATAGATCAAAAACAATTATACCCAAAAAAAAGGAGTTTTTGTAGGACATAATGTATGTATGATTCACTGTTCATATAAACAGTAATACCCAACTAGTTTGCTTGTAATCTGCTCAAGGAAGGGAGGAGGAAGTGGTTTTCCAAAGAGAAAGCATGCAAGTTGAATATAAAGAAACAAAGTTTAATGTTTTTGGATTACGAAAATGGACTGTGCAAGATAAGACTAAATTTCTGGGTTGTTTCTCTCACACACTGTTCACTGTTCAGTCATCGACAATTGCTCATTGATTATCTTGGAAACCACAAAACCCTAAGTTTCCCCTGTATTGATAATTTGATTTTACAGTCTCAAAGCTTGGAAACGAGAGAAGCCATGTGCAGACATCTGAGCGCACTTCCCCTCCAATCTCAGGGGGTTAAGAAAACAAAGAAACCCTAAACAAAGAGATGATTATTATATTGCTTCTCAGCGGCCAACCCCAGGCAGCCCCCAAGAGACAAGAACCCTATTATTTCCAAAACCAGAAGCTTCACCAAAACCATACAAGTACACCACTCTTTGACCCACCATTAAATATACATTCTCACCTTTCTTCTTCTTTCCATTTCTAAACCACAATCCCATTTAGAAACGGAGCTTTTCTTCAGAATGCTTTATTCTTCCTTTGAAACTTCAACAGAATCAAGCTTTGACATCAGAACATTACAGTTCACATTGCAAATTACTAAAGAATACAAACTAATCCTATGAATCTATTTAGTAATTAATAGAGAATTAATTTTATCTGCAAGACTGCAGCTAAATGTTCCTCAAAAGGCTAGAGAGATGCGGGGAGAAAAGTTAAATATCCACTGTATATATGATGCTTCAACAGTTCAAAGTACTTCAAATATAATCTGATCAATTATAAACGAATGAGTTTGAGTCAAATCAAATGAATTCCCTATATTCCGTACTGAAAGTTTTGTTTTTGATTTTCTTTTATATTATCAGTACTATATATGGAAAATGTGTCTACGAGTTGAGAAGAGTTTGGTTTAAGCCTGTATTTGCCTATGGAAAATGTGTCTACGCACCCTACCAACAGGCAACAGCCTAGCAGGGTTAGCTTCATCCGAAACGGCACTGTATATTATAAAATTTGGGCAGATTATGCGTCTCAGTTGAATTCAAATCCATTTTTTCTCCTTTATTCATAGTGCGTCGTCTCATGTGATATGCCCTACTCTTCTTCAAATCATGATGATGCTGGTGTGAATTAGGAGCTTTACGCTTATTTTTTTCTCTGCCATCATGGCCGGTCGGTATCAGTAATCAATATAATTAACGCTTTTCACTTTCTAAAGCTAGCTACGAAATTTAAGTTTATCAAAGCATCACCTCGTCAATTTAAGCAATATTCGTCTAAATTCAACTTTTAGGTAATGCTTTAATTTGTTGTTATGTTTTTTTCTTCTTCAAAATTTATTTATAGTTTTTAAGTAATAATAAGGTTTTGTTTTATTGGACAACGAAAAAATATAACAAAATTATAAGAGTAGAAAATAGGAACCTTACAGTGCATGTTCCTGTTTGTTCGTTTAATTTTAACTAAGCAAACGGTCGAACACGAACGACTAAAATAACAAAATTTCTTATCCATTTTATTTGTTAAGGAATGTAACTTGTTCGTTTTCGTTTGTTAAAATGATAAACGAACATAAACGAATGAACTTAAAATGTAACTTTCTTTAAAATCAAACAAAATTTATTAAAAGAATATAAATAAAGGAACATAAATATAAATTTAATTAAACGAATGGATTACAGAACTTCCATAACCTAAAAGGACGAAGGAGTATTTTGTTCGTGTTCATTCATTTAATTACGTGAACATAAATCTTGTTCACAGTCGTATGTTTAATTAATAAACGAACATAAATGAATTTCTCACCGAACGATTCACGAACAGTTCTACAACCCTACCTGTAAGCTAACAACGCTACAGTTTGAACGATGCCTTCTCGAAGACGTCATGTAATTCTGACGTCTTCCAAAAGTCGTCAAATAATTCAGGCGTCTTCCATAGTGTATTGTAACAATGACTTCAGATGAAGAAATAATTTTTTTCAACCCATTATACGAGAAAATCATTTTTTAAACTATATTATGTAAAAGAATTTGCAAATTAATAATTTAAGTTTAAAGTTTTATTCAAAATTTAGGAGGACTTTGATAAAAAAAATATTCAAATTGAAATATGAATTGAAAAATATTAAGATTATTATCCTATATTATATTATCTCCAACATTGAAGTCTCTACATAAGTTTAGATTAATAAGATTTTTTATGTTTTTTATAAATTTTAAATCTAATCATAATCCTTAGAAAGGGGAAAGAAAGACTTTAGAGGAATGAAGATAAATACTTTTAATAGGTTTAGAATTCATGACCTAATAAAATATAAGTGAAAAAAGGAAAAAAAAATTGATCCACCGAATAAACGTACTTACTCAAAAAAAATTATGTTAATTTTATTGTATGGAATGCACAGCATATATGTGAATATTAAATAAGTAATTAATAAAGAAAGAAGAAATTGGAAGGTCAAACTAGACAGAGTAAAAGGACGAAAAATAGGTAGCAGATGCCACTTGTCGGCCAGCTGTGCTACTAAAGCAGTGCCGCATGAAACCCTAACCACACTACCTTTTGCTCAACATTTTGACTACAGTACATTGGTTTGGTAATTAAAATTTTTGGAGCAGCATTTGTCTTGAGAAATGGATCGAGACCAACAAATCCGATCTCCAACCTTAGGGAATGTTTTAGCCCTAACCACACTCGTGGCGGGGACCATATCTTCACCTTCTTCCTCGTTTCATTGTTCTTTGCAAATCTCTTGGACCCGCTTTATCTTTTTGTCTTGAATCCTGTGCTCAGAGCTTCATACTTAACCAAAAAAAAAACTCTCATTACCGTTGACTTTTTCTGGCTTTTTTTGCATAGTTGTTTAAATATTTCAAAAGGTTAAAATGTTTATGATGAGAGACCGATTTAGAAATTTAAGTTTGAGATGATAAATTTGAATTTATAAAATTTTAAGGAGTATAAACAAATTTTCAATAGAAAATACGTAAAAATATTTAAAATATATAATAATTTTAAATTTTTAGGGAGACGACCGCCTCTACTCACTCCATCTAAGTCCATCCCTATTTATAATCTCATATATGACTTTGATCACCATGAACAGACCATGAGTGAAGTTAGGTTTATGATCCAACTTCATTTCCGGTCTATGGTTTATGTCAGGGGCAGACCTCCATGGAGCCCGTGGTATCCTGGGCAACCCCTCATCCAGGGGTAGATCTCCATGGTGTCCGGGGTATCCCAAGCAACCCCTCTACAAGTGCCACCCTTAATCCAAGTGTCACTCCTCAAAAGTGCTACCCCTCAAAAGTGTCACCCCTGAGGCTCTTGCAACCCCTGACGAAGGCTCTTGAGTCTGCCTCTTTATGTAAGGTGTAAAATGTAAAATATAAGGAGTTGTCTCGTTCACATTATCATATCATGCATTAAGTTATACATACAAGGCAAAGTATTATGCTCGTTGCATATCTTGTCCAAGGCAAAGTTATAGAATAGATCATATTTATTATAAATAATATGAGTTTATATTTAATGTAAGATATCTACCATCGAATCACTTGATATCATTTTATTAACTAGTAAATATAAAATCTTAAGCATAGTTTTTTATTCAAAAATCTGAAACTTAAAAATAAAATATAAATGATTTTATTTATTGATCACTGACTTAATCACACAAGTTTACCACTACTCCACTCACGGGATTTTTTACTTGAAACCGGAGAATCGAAGGATCATTCTGATATTACTTGTCACGATATTATTATCTCCTTCCCAAAAGGCATGTCTAATATGATAGGTAACGCCATCGCTTGTAAAACTTAGAAACTCCAAAAAAATTAAATATAATCACCCTCAATACTTACATAAAAATACATATATAACACCGTCAAAAATCATATAACAATGACTATACATACATAAAAATGCATCTAACAGTGAGATACATTGACAAACTTTATAACAACTGAACATCATCTTATCTTTAGTGATTACGAGTGTCTATCAACAAAACAAAACCATCTTGAGAGTCTAGAATAAAAGTATGTTAACAAGATAATCAAATAAACGTCAATTGTAAAAATAAGATCAAATCTAACCTTAAAAAAAAGAAAATATATATTACAATAGCAGACAAAACTAAATCATTTTTGTATAGAAGGGAGAAAAATAAAATAAAAATAAAAATATAATATAATATAATTAAGATGTAGGAAATAAATAAAAACACGACAAAAAGAACCTAATCTAAAGAAAGAGAGGGAATAAAAAACCCAGCAATTATCGACGAGTCTAGTGTTAAAGTTACAATCGATGAGGGAAAAGATATTAAAAGATCAAGAAGGAACTAACAACCAGTTGATCTAGTGGGATGAAACACTAGATTATTTAAGTAATGTTAGGGATTCGAATCCTGACGTTTGCTAATAGAACAAACTGGGTTGGGAGAATCGCCTTCGCCTTTACAGTACTTAATCTAGATTACTCGGTTAATAGATCGAATACCAGTGATTAATTCAAAAAAATCAAGAAGGAAGCCGTGCGAGAGAAATAAAAAGGAGAGGAACAACTAATATGTTTTTTCTCAAGAGTTTATAAACTAATAAAAGTTTTATACATATTAAGCTTTGAATGAAAATAACTGAAATTATT